ATATATATATATATATATATATATAATCATTTCTCATTTTCTATTTAGATATCTATTTTATATATATATATATAAAATCATTTCTCATTTTTTGTCTATTTAAAATCTGTGAGTTAAAATATTGTTTCCAAATTTCGGTCGTTGTAATAGAGATTAATATCTACGCCTAGAATTGCTCACCAGTTCGCCTTAACTTTATGGAAAATATTTTTAGTTTTTTTCTTTCTTTCTTAAAACATTTTAAAGAGCATTTATTTTACCAATGTTTCGTCTCTACGCCCATCTGGTTTCGAAAAGCGAAATTTCTCTTGTCCTTGTTCTCCGGATTACTTACCTTCAATGTCACGTCACGTGATATTACAAGGGAAAATACTTTCGTCACTGAAAACGTTTGTTTTTTTTTGTTTTTTTTCTTGCTTCATATTTTAATATTTTTCGTCAGATTCGATGAGTCGTTTATTTGAAATTTTGTTTCATTTCAAATTTTCCCTTTCACATTTAATTTCACACATTCTTATTTTTTTTCTGCAAAAGATTTCTGATTTGTTTATTTTGATTTAGCCATGTTGTCAACAAAATGACAGAAACGTTAAAGTAATTTCGCAACTGTAATGGATTTATATTAGGGATGGTGAAACATTCTCGTTTCGACTCCCCTGTAGTAAAAACAGAACCAGTGAATAAACTTATACCAAAGCTTTATTGCACTTTACTCTAGTACTTACTCATTCCCCTACGAGAATGAGATGTGACACAAGGTCGGATTAATGTGGGGACCAGAGCGTGTACACCCGGGCAGTGACAAAAATTCCCCTCAGCCCCCGCAACCGTCGGTTGCGCGGGCCTCGGTGCGAGCACCGATCCCTCCCTCTGGTTATTGCACTTTACTCTGACTACTCGTCTACTGACGGATTTTACAGGGTGCTTTTTATACCTCCTAGATCTTAAGGGGAGGTAACTAATGATTTATACCCCCTTTCTAGAATGTGAACATTATTTTGCCACTGGAACTGGAAAGAGCGTTCTTTTATCTTATAAAGTGCCAATTTTGCAAGACCGTTGTGCTTATTTTATATTTGTTTCTAACTATAGACTAAACAATTTTTAAAGTATTAAACCAATGCACATCATGAAAGTCCTGTTCCGGCAGAAGAAAAATACGAAAGAAAAACCATAAGAGCATGGTGCAAACATTGGGTGACATATGCCCGCCATACTCAACTGAGAAAAAGTGATGAGACATTATCCAGCGTGGAGATTCTGAGACCCAAGATGCAGTACAGTTTGGGAGGCGTTCAGCAATGCCCACGCCAGAAATTGTTGATCATGTTCATTACCAAATCTTGTCCGATCGACAGATCTCGGCACAAAGGTTTTGTAGAGAGACAAGGAGATATCTAGGAAACGTGTTGGTTTCCGAATTGATGACCTATTGGGTTAATAGAAGCAATCAGCTAAACGGGTGCGAAAATGTCTAAATGACAACCTCCATGTTGATTCTACAGCATTTTCAACATTCGGATGATATTTTTTTTTTTACGACTTGTTATTTTTTATGAAACATGCTGACACGATTAGGATGCGGAGACCAAATCGATGCAATGGAGACTCTCGGGTTCTCCACTGTCAAGAGGAAAGATAAAAAAAAAATTTGTGTGGCGGCGGGGTGGGTGGGGGGTGGTAAATAAGCTATTTTGATAACTGAATTAGCTTTATAAGGGTCAAACAGTTAATGCAGAATAGTGCTCTAAATTGCTGCACTGTTTGAGTATATATACCATCCATCCTAAGCTAATCTCTCCGTTTCTCATCTATGGGTTAAATAACAGAGTAGACTGCACAGTCTAGTCTTGAGTGGCAACCATTCTAAGAGAAATAAGACTCTGAATTCAGAACCGTGTAGAAGGCGATAACTACTCCGTTGTCTTTCCTAAAATGTCATAGATATTAAAGAAAAGGAATTTGTGGAGAGCTATGATCACTTGCATCCAGAATATATATATGGCTTTTAATACATAAACATATAATGAAAACTGGCGTTTTTTTTTTTTACACACGAAAGTAACTTTAGGAAATTGTTCTTATATAATATAATAGTAGTAACATCTTTGAAAAATGTGATGATAACCTAAATGATATCGACGTGGAAAGTAATATCAAGTCGAATTCAAATACCGGCCTCGTCTGTTGATTTCACCTAAAGACAGGGAAACAGCAAGTAACCTAACAACTTTATGTAAATAGAGGGCAGATATGGTAAAGGACCAAACGTTGCATAGAGCTACAAAAGACAGGAAGTTATCCTGAAGGGACACGTGAAAGAAGATATGGTTACTTAATATGCCTGTCGCTTCTTGCATAGGGCTGGGTATTTACTGAAACTTAGGTTAGTATAGCACAAACTCGACTTATTCTAACATATATTTATATCACATAAATATGTAAGCTCGCAGAAGTACCGAGCTTTGCTAGGGTTTATAAATATGAAAAGTGAATATAATCACATAAGACTTTGTAACATTTGCTTAAAAATCATTTGATAATTGTAATGATAAAAGTACGCTGGTGTAGGCTTTAAGAAATCTTTATTCAACTGAGAATACAAGGTTCGCGTATAGTGTCCTTTTATAGTCTCAGTAAACAGAAATAGGGCTCTCAAACAGGAGAGTAACAAAACAAGGGGAGACCACCCTTGATTATTCATAACAATAATCATTCTATCAGAACAGTTGCTTCCAAGAGATTAAGATGGTTTCTGTTTTAGCTTTATAAAAATTTGCAAAAAAACAAATATAACACTTAAAATTCTACTTTGCGAAAATGTTTAATTTTCTACAGGAAAAATATTTTGTTTTTCTTGCGTTAGCGGACGACCTTAAATTAGTGTGGGAAATTTTAGCGCCCTCTTGCGGTGAAAAAAAAACATTGATTTGGAAACACTTGCAAATTGTCGGATTTTAATGAAATTTTCAGGATTTCTTCAGAAATGAATGCAATTATTTTTTAAACGTTACTTTTTTAGAAAATCTCGGCAATAGTCATAAAAAACACCTTTAAAAATCTTCCAATCCAATATATATATATATATATATATATATATATATATGTATGTATGTATGTATGTATTATTATTATTAATTAAAGAATATCAAATACTTAAAATCCCATAGGTTATAATTTTTATTTCATGAAAGCTCTAAAAACAGAAGCTCTCAATCTTCAAGACCTACAAACACACATATATATGTGTGTGTGTATGCGTCCGTGTGTGTGTGCGCGCGCGCGTTAATTAGTACATATACTTGTACCTACGTTTTGGTGTGCGACTAAAGTTTCACTGGATTACCAATTAATTATTAGCATATATACTAATTAACATATATCTTTGCTCTGAATAACCACTTGGAGCACTATTATATTTACACCTCATGTATAAATTTGACGATTATGGATTTGCTTGCCCGTGTATGCACACCAGCATGTGCGTATACCCTTGCTAATATCTAGCCGTTTGATTTAGCTATCTTATAACTATCTATCTATCTCTCTCTCTCTCTCTCTCTCTATATATATATATATATATATATATATATATATATATATATATATATATATAAACTTTACAGTTTTTTGACTGGGAAGGATAATTCCGAGGTGGATATAAATCGAGGGAGAGCTCAATGTAAACTACAGAGCATTATAATGATGATAAGAAGATAGAGCCTCTAATTATCCATTTCGTTTATAATTTTTATTTCGTGAACACCGGGATGTTCATCTCATCAGAAACAAAACCTGGTCCGCTTAATATATTTTAAAAAGAAGATAAACCGCAAACGTTTTTGGTTGAAATGTGTATCTTTTATTTTAAAATATATATCATATTCTATTTTCCATAATTCTGCTACACGGGTTTCTGGTTTCGCAACCTTCTTCAAGCAAAAAGTAGATATTTTCACATATTAATGAATTTTTTAGCGTGGTAGCGATTCAAATGTCTTTCTCGGAAACCAGAAATACGTGTAGATTTCTGAAAAAATTGAGTATAAAATATATTTTAAAATAAAACATCCATATTCACACCCAAAACGTTTGCGGTTTATATTTTCTCTCGTTGGGACAACTATAACCTCTTCCATATATATATATATATATATATATATATATATATATATATATATATATATATATATCGATTCTTAAAAAAATATAAAAGATTAACGAACCAATTGTTTGATTATCCGAAAATATTTTTATATATTATTAGCCGATGGCCGAGGTAAAATATTAGTTACGCTACGCTCGTGCGCGCGCCTAGTGAAACTATAAAAACTATGACAAATCGTTTAGTCATAAATTTGATAGGTTTTCCATTGGATCTTTCGGACTGTAGCGACTCAGTTGGAATGTGGCTAAGAAACCATAACACAGCTTATGACACTAGAGTAAAAAAAAATATCATACTTCTGAAAAGAAAATATGATGAAAGCAGAATTTCAATGTGGAAATATCTTAAGAAATAAATGTTTTCTTTTAAATTATCAAAATGGTTTAATTCTTTTTGATACTATAAAGTGATTTGTTTCCATTTTGAAAAGAAAATGAGCAGAATAGGTTCTAGAGATTACCTGCCTTTACAGAACCAGTTCCTGGAAATTCTGGATGCCACCGCTGTATATATATATATATATATATATATATATATATATATATATATATATATATATATATATATATATATATGCCCTAACAAGGCCAAAACACTTTCTTTCTTTCTTTTATGGTAATTTACCCACGCTGGTAAATTGACCTTAGTGACAGGCTTTGCAATGGCAGGCTATATATATATATATACATATATATATATATATAGCACTTATCAAATCAAACGTTTTTTGCCCTGCACTACAAACAACTATAAATATATACGTTCTGTTATGACTCAGTTTTCTTTATCTTCTTGTTATCTTCCTTTTATATATTGCATAAACTATTGGAAGTCACGATTTCGTTGAGAAAAGGGGCCAGAGACCATTTTTTTGCGAGTGATGAGTCACTGAAAGCTGGGGCTTTTGGCAGCCAACACCCATCTGATTACGTTGAGCAAATGAAAGCCCTCTCGCCTCAAGCGTTAAATACTTCACTTTTGTATGAACCCATGTTAGTCTAGAAAGCATTCACTTACTATTTCATCGAGGTTGAGTCAAGTGTATTCATTTGAGCGGCAGATGTGGACAATGATGAATCAAAGCATTTATTTAATATTCTATATGTTAGAAAACATAAAACGTGCACAAAAGAAAACCAAATATAAATTCGGCCGTGCGCAAACATACTCATTATATATGTATATATATATATATATATATATATATATATATATATATATATATATATATATATTATTTATATATATATATTACTATATATATTACTATATATATATATATGTATTTTTTGTTGTTGTTATTATTATCGTATAATATCATTATAATATTTATTCAAAAATTATATCATAAACATGTTATAACATCACTACAAAAATAGCCATTTTGTTTCAACACTTCTGGTGTCTTCTCAAGTGATGGTGTCTTCAATTTAGGTTTATAAATAAAATAATAATAAAATAAATAATAAATAAATAAAATAAGATGATTCCTTGGCTTGCAATATTAAAATAATAAACAAAATATATACTTCCTTAGCTTGCAATTTACTGACACGATCACTTATACGCAGTTTATATGGTGATTTTCTAAGCCCGGCTTAGATGTGGCACAAGGCCGAAAGTATGGAGCACCCAGTGAGGATTGAACTCACTACTCAGTCCTAATTGATCTAGCAAGACAAGTTTTCTAACCATTACACCACGTCGAGGTGCCCATATACGCACTTTATATGTAATGGATTTGCTAACACAGTCAATACTATCTATCAGGTTTAAAGTAGTTGTGTCAATTTTCTTGTAGCTTTTGGTCAAACTATTTTTAACTAAAGTGTCATAATCCTTAGGGGATAACATATAAAAGTTAGCCGTTTTATCGAATTTGACATGAATATTACGGGCTTTATTTATATCCTTGACAATATCATCAAAATGTTTTTGAAAAGAGTTTTTATACTTATGGATGGTTAATTCTTTCACGATTCACAGTAGGTCATTTTCAAAACCAGACCGCTCCTTAATAATTGGTGCAGTCTTCAAACTCTGAAATCCTTAGTTTTCATAGTTGTACGAATGGTCTCGGTCAAGAAGAAAAAAGTATTCTTTCTATCTCATTCTACTGATAAGGTTTTCCATTTTGTAGAGTTAAATTGACGAAATAATCATTATATATATAAATATTATTATAGTTATATAATATATTTTATTATTATATATAAAATACATATATTATTGTATATAAAATACATATATATTATATACATATATTTAGAGAGAAAAATTATTTAAATTTAAAATATCAGGTTCCCCCTCTCCTTCGTGAGCATGTATAATCAATATAAACATGACTTTAGTCCGATGAAATGTCTCACAAGAAAGATTTTTCTATTTTGTCATAGATTTTTCTTTAAATTATTCTGATATATAAAAATTTATATGTCGTTTTCCCATATATATATATATATATATATATATATATACAGGGTGCTATAGATAAATTGTCGTCTAAATGACGCAAAACTGAAAATAACACTGACATCTCATTTTTACAGATATATTTACCAAAATTACACAAAAATATCTTGAAATACTAAGTATTAAATTTATTCAATAAAATCGCCATTGACTTCAACCACAGCCTCCAGACGACTTCGGAATCTTCTCCAACTCTTCTGGGCAATCTCATTGTTTAAGTTGAGGAATGTGCTAGCATAATCCTTGCCTTCAGTTTATACTTGGTGATACAAGGGGTTTTGTTGGTCTCTCGCTCAACTGCACCCCACACGTAATAATCAAGGGGGGTTGCAGTCTGTGGAGGTGGTCAGATGTAAAGAGTGATGTGGTCGCAGAAGTTGTCTGACAGCCATGACTGGGTTATCTTGCTTGTGTGGCATGGTGCAGACTCCTGTCGCCAGATATGTGATCTTCCTTAACTAGCACTAACTCTTCAAATACATGCAAGTCTCCGTGTTGAATCTAAGGTCCTCACCAACAAATTCGAAAGTTCTTTTCTTATCAGAAAGTGAGTTTTCCGAACTGCAATACCTTCGTAATTACCATTAGCCTCATCTGACTCTTTCTGTGCACTGTCCTCAGAAAACACTATGAAATGTTCGCATTGGAGCTTCTGGCGCGAATGCCAACCAGAACAGCATGACGTTTCCAAATTTCTGGCGTAGTGAATTGCGTCGTGGTGCTCTTTTTCTCACAGGCGGTGCCCAACAGACTCTACTCTACGGTGCATTCGACAAAATCAAAAACAAACAACGCGCATGCGCGAAATTTAAATTATAAGTTTGCACCTATGTGTGTGTGGGTATATATATATATGTGTATGTATGTGTGGGTGTGTGAAATTGTATTTTAAAGTTTTCTTCTTTTTTTTCCAACAAGACTCATCACAATTTTGACATAAAAAATGTTACTCTGATCAAAGGAGAAAATAATTCCCTGCGACGTAAATGTTCAGAGAGTGCCTTCATTGCAAGATCATCTACAGTAAATTTACGCCCTGGCTCTTACAATATTTCACCATTCCTAGCAGATTATCACAGTGTGGGACGCCTACTAACAAAAGTGATGGATGGAAAAAGAAAAAGACTCTAAATGAATTTGGCTAGATATAAAAAAACAAAAAATCTAACATCCCCAGCAGCCATCGTTCGGGCGCATGTGTAGTCGTACAAACATAACAAATTTAGTCCAAACTTTTTAAACTTTATCATACAATGTCCTCAATACTGTCCTTGATATATAAAAATATATGTCGTTACCTTTATATATATATATATATATATATATATATATATATATATATATATACACAAATATAGGTAACTATACTCGTTTCGAAAAACCTTCGAATTTTTGATGTACCAATAATCAAATCAATCTCGAGGGAAAAAAAGTTTTAAAAAAAGAAAGAGCTTGAAACATGAAAGTCTGTCGAAAAAAATCGCACAGATATAGGTTCAAAGCCCAAAGAAAAAACCCCGATACGAGTAAACAACTAACTAACAAAAGAGCTCGATACAACCGTAGAGCAGACCTAGATAAACCTAGTGAGCCAGACAAACCTACCCAACCCTTATCTCTCTCTCTCTATATATATATATATATATATATAGATATAGATATATATATATATATATATATGAATTGGTTATATTTATAGTTGGAGATATATATACCGACATAGGAATTAGCAATGTATGGTGACTGTCACTTTCGCGCTTCAATAAAATCCCCAGAACAAATGTCCTTCCTTCTTTAGCAGACTGTATATATAGCGTTTTGTGTATGTAGGTCACTAGAGAATTAAAGGAAGTAGAGGAAGAGGAAACCTGCTAACACTGTAGTTTATTTACAATCATAACCTACATCGATTATCGATTATTTATGCTGGTTCGGTGTTTGGAGCAAGTGTTTATGTAAAAAGACTATGGTTTATTTATGCTCCTGATCTCCAAATTTCTTATGTATATTTTTCTGCTCCCTCCTCATCCGGGCATTTATATAACTTTGTTATCCAGTTGACATCTGTGTGTATATTTTAAGTTCAGCTGGGTTCATTTTCTTCTTTATGTTGGGGCAACGCCAACATATTTCCCGACCCAATTCTGTACTTGGTGGCTTTGAGGGTACCACTTCTGTCAACTATCAGGGTTCCTTGGTCTTTTGACTTTCTGAAGTGACACCGAGTAGTAAACATACTTTGATATCTCTTATTGTATACCCGGAACATATTGAGGTTTCCATCGATCAAATCCTATAAGATCAAAGGTCCCAGATAGATATTTAATTTGATTCAAACCACTGATGTTTTCTCAGAAAAAATAACGAACAAAGATGTTCAGGGAAAGATTCTCAGCGTCATCTTTTGTACAAAGTTAAGAAAATTTTAAAAGTGGAATTGAAGTTTACACAGCTTTTCTTATGGTTTTATGCAATTCATCACGTTGTTTACAAAACTTTTAAAAGAATTTAGAAGTTAAGAAAATAAGCTCAATTTCGACATAAACGTACAAAAACAAACATTGGTGAGCGTTTAAAAACTTGTTTGTTTATTTTTTTTGTTTGTTTGTTTTACACAGTCTTTCATCGCTATGGCGATGAAAAACGAATTATTTACGAAACGAAAAACATCATGTCGAGATCCTGAATAGATTTAAATATCTTCTTCTATGTACCGTGTCCCTTTTAGAACGTTGATGTTATCCGCCATTTTCTGTCCTTTGTAGAAATTAATAAATTTGATTTAAACATATCAACCTTAATTGAATCCATTAAGAAAAAATTCTACGAAAGAAAAACGTTTAAAAAAATTGAAAGGGAACAGCGTATTTACATTCAAACTAATGTCCTGTTGTCATTGTCACAACGTTTCGGTTGTTCTATCCTCCAGCATTCTTCAAGTGTTTCTCGATCCAGACAATCTTCAGTGTATCTCAAACACTTTATTCAATCTACAAAGTAGATAGTAATCATTCCGCTGTCCATATTTATCGTCTTGTTCTTATTTAATACGTCTCAGTTATTGCTTGCTCTGTTTCCACTGAATCTAGGTTTGCACTATCCAGCCAAGGGATTAAACTTACAATTACTATCGTATGAAATTCACGAATCAACGCTAGGCTATTATCCCATAGATTAAAAACAAGTATTCAGTTCGAATTTTCTCGAAGGTTAACCGGATCAATAAACACCTGAAAACCGATTCTAACGAATGAATATTTTGCTGTGTTATTTTTAAATAAATACTATTCGAGTAATCACAGGTTATATATAAACAATTCATTATAACAACAGAAGTAGACTGGTCAATTGTTACAGCCGTTGTTGTATATAAAAAAATAAATAAACTACAATATTTTGCGAAAAGCTTCAAATTCATGCAGCAACAGATCGCTGAAAATATTTCAACGAATTTCACTCAAATTCTTTCTTGAAAATGTATCTCAGCTACGCTTTTCCCCATATGAAGTATTAATGACTTCAAATTTTTGTCTCTAGAAAAATAGATTTTTATAAAGAAATCATTTTGAATGATCACCAGAATTAATTCATTACAAAATTTAGTATCAGTGACTGAAAAACCGAGTTGTTCCGTCCGAGTGACAGAGTACGAAGTCGATTTACGCCATCTGGCAGTAACAAAAAGAAACAAAAAGAAATAAAACTTACCTTAGTGTTGTATACTTATCTGGTACATAGTAGGAGGGAGTCTTTAAGTGGGGTCTTTGAATTGCCCAACCCGAAGAAATCGACTCAGAAGTTGTTCAGTGCTAAAGCTAAGTGCTTCCATTACAAAACCCGCTGCGCTCTTCACCATCATTTCAGGCGATTAGGTGCAAGAAGGTTTGGAGACATCAGTGCCAGAAAAAAAATATAGATTGATTTTCTTTAAAATGATGGGATTGATTTGTCTTTACGGTTTATCAATCTTCGTGGGTTACTTGAAGCGGAAACATATTTTGGGACTGTAAGAATAATTGGGGGTGTTACGAGCGAATCTTGCATTAACAACTTTTTTCTATATACAAGTCCTACTATTTAATCTATAGCAGGAGGTCGGCAGAAATGGATTCATACCTTTCGCAACGGTATTTGCGCATGGGCGAATATAACGAACTCGAGTGGAATTCGAATTCGGTTCTGCAACTGGAAGATAAGAAATGAGCATAGATAGATAGATAGATAGATAGATAGATAGATCAGAACTGAATAAGATAGAAACAGAATGAGAAACGATAGATAGATAGATAGATAGATAGATAGATAGATCAGAACTGAATAAGATAGAAACAGAATGAGAAACGATAGATAGATAGATAGATAGATAGATAGATAGATAGATCAGAACTGAATAAGATAGAAACAGAATGAGAAACGATAGATAGATAGATAGATAGATAGATAGATCAGAACTGAATAAGATAGAAACAGAATGAGAAACGATAGATAGATAGATAGATAGATAAGAACTGAATAAGATAGAAACAGAATGAGAAACGATAGATAGATAGATAGATAGATAGATCAGAACTGAATAAGATAGAAACAGAATGAGAAACGATAAATAGATAGATAGATAGATCAGAACTGAATAAGATAGAAACAGAATGAGAAACGATAAATAGATAGATAGATAGATAGATAGGAACTGAATAAGACAGAAACAGAATGAGAATAGAAAGAAAGAAAGAAAGAAAATTGTCATGTAAAATATTAGCTTATTAAAATCCAGACATATCCCGTTTCCCACAGACGCAATGTCGTGAACCTATTGCTATATTCCATATCAAATGTTCAAACGAGCTACATATTTTAGGGCTCCCAGACTTTTTCAGTCCACGGGGTTGATTCAAACCCCCCCCCCCATTCCCTATGCATTTCATTGGTAAGAAGGATATTGCATTCGGAAAGTTCCAATTGATATCCATCCTCCATCTCCTCATAATCTTCACTTTCTACTTCCTCGTCGTACGTTCCTAACACACAACTCATTCAGTAACCCTCTACCTTGAGTGGCTCTTGGGCCTTATATTTGTTGAACTTTAATAAAGAAAATGTTGACACAAGGCCTCAAGAATGAAGCCCCGTTTAAGGTTCGAACTCACGATTCAGTCAATTTCGATTACTCGACGCCGAGGTGTTCTTTTTTGACTGACCGTAACTTAATTTTCGTACAAAGGAAGAAAAGTGAGCCACCCAGTGAGGACCAAACTTGCTCGTTAACCATTTTCAGTGCGCAGTTCTTTTTTTTTTTTAAAGTTTTTACTAAGCTTGGCATACTTTCCATACAAGGCTTCAAGAACGGAGCGTCAAATGTGAATCAAACTCACTACTCAGTCTAGCTTGTTAGCCATTACCTCATCGAAAGTGCCACTGTTATTTTACAATTTTGGAGTCGAGACAGAAAATATTTTTATTAGTTACGCTTAAATTCCAATGTAGCCCTTATTTCTCAAAACCGTGTTTTCGCCATTTTTTTTTTTATTTTTTTACATGAAAATAATTATAAACTACTTATCTGAGGTGTGGTGACCCAACGATTAACGACGGAGACACTAGAAATGACGACCCGAGTTCGCACTCACTTCTCAGTAATCCCCGTGGGAAATATTTGAATTCACTTCTCCCGATCCTTTCCCCGCCAGCTAGAATCCTTTAGACTCGTACTTTCGGGTCTTGACTGAAAGGAGGAGTGGAATAAACATCTGAAAAATTTTCAAAATCTTATTTTTAGAATCTGTGTCAGATTGGTTTCGCAATTCCAAATGATTATTTGTTTTGTTTTTTTAATTCTTTCTCAGTTGTTTCCACGAAAATAATTTGGCACGAGGGGTTGCAATAAGTGCGGAGGTATAGGAATTTAAAATGGCAAACATTGCAAAAGATAGGAGGTTGTGGAGATCCATTATCACACGCCCTAAAAAGAGATGGCAGATAATAAAAGACGGCGTGGTAGGGTGTACAATTACTACAGACCCGAATGTAAACGCAAACTGTCTTGGACGTTCGATCAGAAGTCGGGTTAGATATCGTTCCTTGCTGCTAGCATTATGTAACCCAATACAGCTTGTCGCATGTAATTTTGGGAGGTGATGGGTGTCGCCAAGTAAACCCATCGCCACCACCACTAGTGTCCTGAGAGAAGCCATAAAATGTAATTACTCCCGATGGTGTATTAAGTCATGGGAAACAAACGAAGTATAAGATTATGAACAATTTATTTAAGATTTAAAATAAAAAATTTAAAAAAAAGAACCAATTAGAAAAAGTTAATATGATCAAAGCAAAATAAGCTTAAATCAAGTTTTGCCCCAAATACTTTCATTCGGCTTGCTTTTAAGAAGCCGAGTAGTTTTAGATGGTCTTTGAAACTAAAGAATTGTGGTTGTTTATATAGGAACGTCACCGAATGTCAGAACAAAAATACCAGAGCGGGAATATCCCAAATAAGGAATTGGAAAACAAGGAAGTTAATTCTCAAATAACTGAAAAGCAACTCAGCATTTTTCTTCCACTAGATTTGTTTATTAACTCGGCCCTGAACGATGGGGAGTCTTTTTTTTCTTTTTTTTTTTTTACCATTTTTATTATTTCTTAGTTTATCCTTCTTACTTCCGTCTGGATTTCTGATGTGAAAAGTTATCATTAATAATATTAACATTATTTACATTTGAACTAATGTGCGTAAACACTGTTTATATTTATATACCGAGGGGAAGTCCTGAAGATGTAGGAGAGATACATTTTATATCTTTGGATTTTAAAAGCATTTAAAAAAAAATTTAATTTAATTTTTTTTTTAAATTTGAAAATGAAAGCATGTTTTTTTTTTCCGACAAACGCTTAGCCGATCTCATTCACTTTCGGTTAATTTGCAGTGTAACACCCGCGCTCAGTTCGCATTAAAAATTTTCCAGAATACTTAAGTTTATGTGTAATTGTACATACTCCATTTGGATCTGGCTTCATAAAATTGATAAAATCTACCGTTTTGGAGTTATCGACAGTAAAATTTCAGAATCATTCACGTTGTTGGCGGCAGCCATTACTGGCGTTGTTTGCATACATTCGCCGCAGAAAGCTAAACGCGGAAGAATGTACTTAACGGTCTTTTTATACTGATCTTACTTGTCTCAATTACGGCGCAAGAGAACTATTTACGTACACACACTCAATTGTGCGCTGCGTGAGCAGTAATCAAGACAAGAATATTACACTCCATAGCTATTCTTCATCGAATGAATGCTTCCACTTTCAGTGCCATATATATAGAGAGAGACAGACAGACAGACAGACAGACAAACAGACAGACAGACAGAGACAGAGAGAAAGAGTATTAATAGAATTAATACAAATATAAAGATTGTGACTTAGATGATTGGTGTTACCTTCAGCATCCCGACTCCAGAGTTTCATAGACGCACCCTCCAGCAATCATTCCTTCCATTCGTCAGAATTCAAAATTCCGGATAACTGAATAACTAACTCATAAAAAAAATAATGAAGACAATGTTCATTTTCTGAAAGAAATTTAACATTTATATCATCAAATAACATTTTCAAATGCTTTGTTCAAGTTTTTGTCCAGTTTATTTTTTGATGAAAATATGCGTCAATTTTTGTCTATTTCCGGCTGGCCTCGCGTTTTTCAGTCGCTTACTCCCGAGATAAGAGTTACTGATACTCGAGTAAGTGCTGTACAACGAAATTGATTATACATGTTTTTGTTTGGGAACTCGTTAATGTCTGTTAAGATTCTAAATACATTGCAGTCCACTTCCCAACGGCCTTTTGATCTTAACCTCCTTTGTACTGCTCTTTCGGTAAAAATTGCTTCGCCGTATGGATTTATCATTTACGGTTTATCAATTTGTTTGTTTCTGTATATTTTGCTTAAGTCGTCAAGATGTAATGTGCTCAGCCCAAATTGTATTAAACTCCCTCAAACTGACAGAGATGATAAACACGTATGTTCATCTAAGTCACCCCGAGAACGATCCAGGAAATATGCTTTCTTCCTAATCACGGTCCTTCTTTAAATGTACCGTGTAATTGAGCGATTTGTTTTCTCGTGAGCATGAAGTCACTGCAGGGGCTGACAACTCAAAGACAAGGATAAAAACGGAAGTTATTAATCAAAGACAAAATACTTCAAACTCTCTACAATTGGAGATACAATATTAATATATGGATGCGGCTGAATGGAATATAAAACTGGTTAAAATTAATTGGGACTCATAAATAATCTTTTTACATGCCTTCAGGACTTGAGGATGTGTGTGCGGTGCAATGGATAGCGGCTTGGAATCAGAAATCGTCGAACCGAGTTCGAATTACAATCGGGTTCGTTATATTCACCTACGCGAAAATGACCTTGGGGGATGTATGAAGTCATCTCCTCTCCCAGATATGGATTAAATAGTAGAACATACGTCTGGAAAATCATTGTTATTCTCAAAAAGAAATTGTTAATGCAATATTCACTCGTAAAGAAAAGAATTATTCTCACAATCCAAAATATGTTCCGTAAAATAAAACGTTTCAACCGTTGCACGTTCAGGCCTTCTTCAGGTGATTGGAATTTCGAACTGAACCCTTTATTTCGTCCACCAGGATTTATTCTTCTAGTTCCACGTGTCGTGCCTCTTCCGGACTTCTCAGTTATTTCCCTTTAGTTCAACTCTCCAAGTTTTGCCTTACCACTGCCGTGGCCTGGTATTGAACTCACATCTCTTTGGGTCCTGTCACTGGATCGAACCAATGCCTTTATCCATTGGTCCTTATCCGAAACGTTGTGAATATGGCAATGAAGATAAGGATAAAAGTCCGAATAATGTAAATAATGTAAGTAATCATAATACCTAATCTCAGAGATATAGACAGATCTTTAGGTAGGTTACTTGATATTTTCCTCTGTCCCCAGCCTTCAATATGTTCGATGAGTGTCAAATTCTTCAAGCCCCTTTTCCTCATTATGTATCCTAGAAATTCCAACTGTCTCTTTCTGATTTTAAGCATAATTGTCTTTCTCTTTCCATTTTCCTTAAAACTTCTTCGTTGTTTAAATGATCCGGTCATGGAATTCTCAGTATTAATTTCATCTGTATTACGTCAAGTCTTCTTCATCTGGGAAGAAATTGTTCAGGATTCCTTGTCAGATCGGAATATTGATATTACATAGTTTTTCATAACTCTTTTCCTTATTTATTAACGAAATTTTCTCGATTCTTAATACTTTGTTTATCTTTAATAAGGCACCTTTCGCTATTCCAATGTGCCTTTGGATTTCGTTTTTCGTCATCTGTTAAAACACTTACCACTTTAATTTCTATGCTTGCTTGATTTTGACATCTCGAAATCGTAAGTTGTATCTTGGGCAGTTCCTCTTGTTAACGATCATACAGTCGTCCTTCTTACAAATGATGCTTAGTATTTTCTTCCTGTTTCCTTTACTGACTTGTTTGGGACTTCCTGTAGTTTCTTTCTGCGTCTACAACTAACATTTCTTTTTACTATTATTTTCACCCAGTACAAAGCCCAAGAGTCACTCGAGGTAGAGGGTTACAGAATAAGAGGTACAGTTTATGGGGATATGCGAGAAGATAGCAGTTAACCTTAGACCTGCACAGTTTAAGATTATAGTGATAGGAGAAGCATCCTCTTGTGAGTCGATTCCACATAGTAGCGGCTCGTGGGAAGAAGCTATTCGAGTGAAACTTTTTATCTCACCAATGAAATATGAAGGGAATGAAAGTCGTTCGCTACAGTGTACGTGGTATGATGGGTTAGAACTCGTGAACTATAGAATGTAGTTTGTCTGAACACTTTCTATTGAAACAGTAATAAAACAGCGAGAGGTTTACGATGTTTCATCTGTGTGAAAGAGTTTGTAGGGTGGAAAATAATTCATCACCCACAAGGACTCTATCAAGACCGGAAAGTGAAAACTGGACAGCTCCTCTCCATATAAGATAGTAGTACGCCATTTTAGACTTAATCCTGCTCTTGTAAAGGTAGAGGATAGCACGCGGTGTCAGATATTTACATTTTTCCATCACGTATGTACGAGTTTACTTGAAAGTTTAAGTCCCAATAGACATACAAGGCAAATAATATCACATATTATTCCATCCGCTTCTCTTGTAAAACTGATAAGGAAAGATTCAAAGTAATAATTGTTATGTTATTTTATTAGGTTGGTGCAAAAATAATGTCGTTTTTTGACGTTCAACTTAACGTCAAAAAACGACATTATTTTTGCACCAACCTAATATGATACCAATTACCTAGGGAAATTGCAGACACACTATTTGGTTGATTGTTTGTTTTTGTTTAGCGTCATATCAACACCTATATGGGGGATTTAATGCCGGAATCTAAATATTTTGAACGCAATTTTATGGCTTCAGCTAAATATATTTTGAAATGTATTGTTGGTCATTTTACTATAAAATGTATTGTTGGTAATTTTGCTGTAAAATGTATTGTTGGTCATTTTACTATAAAATGTATTGTTGGTCATTTTGCTGTAAAATGTAATGTTGGTCATTTTGCTGTAAAATGTATTGTTGGTCATTTTGCTGTAAAATGTATTGTTGGTCATTTTACTATAAAATGTATTGTTGGTCATTTTGCTGTAAAATGTATTGTTGGTCATTTTGCTGTAAAATATGTTGCTGATCATTTTCCTATAAGTAGGTATTGTTGGTAATTTTACTATAATTAGGCATTGATGATAATTTTACTATAATTAGGAATTGATTATAATTTTACGATAAATCGATATTTTTGAATTTTCATGGTGTTTTGTTTTTGTTTGGATTTCACTATTTGCCCATAACTAGGACCCTAACAAATGGTACCACCCGGGTCAGGGTAGATCTTGGAACAACAAGAACAATTAAGTGGTTCCACGCTTCTCAAAACCTTCAATCATCCAATAAGAGGCCTTGTAGACAGACAAATGGGGTTAATAACACATAAAATGAAATCGGCGAGCCGGGTTCGAATTCCAGCAGAGGCATTTTGTGTTCTCTTCATATTAATATTTGTGTGAAAAGCATATATCTAACTTTTCTGTCACCAACTACGACAGAAATACAGACTGAGGTCTCTAGACTTAGTCGGCAGTCAGTCTAGGAGAAAGAAAATTGCGAATTCAAAACTCTGGTTAAGACAAAGAGAAACTAATTAAAGTTATAAATTAATGAGTTTTATATCTAGAGACAACATTCATCAAATTCTTAAACCAATACGATCAGATATTGTTTCATTTCATCCCATCCACTTGCCGAATTTGATGAAAAGCTTCGGCAATTTAGGGACCCAATTTAAAATAATACCTCAAAATTACCCAAATCTTGGAACTCGTATTCGCTCTTATAGCATCTTAAAGTAAAGTATAGTATTGATTATCAGATAATATATATCTAATATTAATATCAATAATGCAAATTAGTAATATCGCATAAATTTACGAGAAAGCACTCCAAAAGCGTATACTTCCGCGATCGCAGGCTATGTTTCTTTGGTGACCGGGCAAAATTGTTACGGATTAGCTTAGAAGTTGTCACACATCTACCGTATTCACCAAATATTGCACTTTCGAATTACTATTTATCGCAATTTTAAAAATCCTTTCCCCTGAAAAGCTATTAAACATTGAGTCTTGGGAGAATAGAATTAAAAAGTTGTCAGAATGGTACTGGTATTATTAGCCGTTTCCTTATGAAGAAACATTCGACATTTATTGTTCGGTTGAAATTTATAAAATCTTTGTCTTAAAACAATTTTTCAGGAAAATAGGTTTCTCAAGTCCAGTGTTATCGCTCTTTCCAGTATTGATGGGCGCTTCCTCTCTTGCCTTCCGTTTAGGCTTACGGCCACATCACGCTGAAACACCGGTTTCCGTACGATCACCGAAGTTAAGCAACGTCGAGCCTGGCCAGTACTTAGATGGGTGATCACTTGGGAATATCAAGCGCTGTAAGCATTGATGTGCGGGTGAAGTAATGGATAATACAGGATGATTGAAAATTAACTCCCTGTTTCATGTATGATGGACTCTCCTGTCTAACTATAATTTTGAAAAAAAAACAAAAAAAAAACGGGAGAGTCCATCATACATGAACTAGTGAGTTACTTTTCAATCACTTTGTAGATTGGAATTGTTAATCGGAGAGCCGAGTTCCAATTCCCGTTGGGTTCGTTATATTCCCATAACGCGCAAATACCTTTGAGAAAGTTATGAATCCACCTCTCTCCCCCAAGCTATGAGTTAATTAGAAAGACTTGTGTCATTAAACCATTATTATCTCAAATAATTCTTACAATTTAAAAAAAAAAAAATTCCTGCTTAAAAATAGCCTGTAAAGGGTTGATAAGCCTTAAAAAACAAATCAATCAACCAACTGTTTTTGGTTTGTAATAGTGTCGAACGTTGATTATGTTATTATTTTTACTTGAAATTCCATGCGGCATCCATTTATTTGCTCCTCCTCCTCCAGCTGATGCTGCTGTTGTTTTGTGGTTTCTGTTATTTGATACAGTTCTTTGTTTGTGATTCTGTAGCGCCAGTTCACGGAGTTCGAAGAAGGAAGGTCCCCCGATAAGACCTACATGCTTCATTCGCTCGGAGCTATTTTTAACCATTGAGTGTAACAAAACGGTAACAAGTACACATGGCCCAGTTGATAAAAACGTTGATTGACTGATCCAAACGTGGCTTGATCCAAAAAGTTGTGAGTTCAATACCCGGTCACATCAGAAGGAACAAAAACTTGGACAGTTGAGTTATCAATTAACTAAAACTGAGATACCCAGTGGCATGACACGTGGAATTAGAACACTCTACTAATGTGGACTAAATAAAAGGTTCAGTTCGAAATTTCAATAAATATGCCCTGGAGAATACCGGAGCGTATAACGATTAAAGCGTCGTGAATATGGCAATAAAAATGTAAATAAAGCGGTAACTCTGTTGTTGGCTGAAATTAATATCGAAAATAAGAACAAAGATGTCTTTTATTTATACTTTATAAATCAAATAAACTTTTTGGTCGCCAATACACCAGAAACATTGTTAAAAACGGGAAACACATTAGCAAAACGAAAAGTGCTTCTGTCAGCAGTAACAAGCGAGGATAATTATCAGGGTTGGGGACTGTTCGATAGATGCCTTTCTCCAAATGTGCGTATGTTTATTTAGAGCCGCATTTCATTCTTCGCTTCTCCTACTCACGTATACACACAAAAATGTATATATACATATCTCTCAAAAAAAAAAAAAAAGAAAAAGAAAAAAAAAGAAGGCTTTAGGTTTCCTCCTGTGATGTCGTGCTTTTTTAAAGGTCAGAAAACCTAAAGAAAATGTTGCAAATTGTCTTATCTTAACTAGCGGAGACGGGACTGTCTAAGGTTAGGAAGAAGTCATATATAAGTCACAGCTAAGAACTGCTGATGAACTTTAAATCAAAACTGTTTGATAGAGATTACAAAGTTACAGAAATTTGGCTTAAAATCTAGATTTATCGCGAGAAAATGTGCTGACTACATTCAAAGTATCATTTGTGATTAAACCTTACAAAAATGTAGAATTCAATTTCGGAACTCATACTTAATACTATCTTGTTCCAATATTTTTATTACATTTGCATATATATATATATATATATATATATATATATATATAATCAGCAATATATATAAAATAAGCAATAATCTTTTTTTAAATATATTGATATATTTTATTTAAATCAATTCATTTTTAATCAATAACGGATGAAACGCGTCACAAAAAACCTTGCCAGTCTTTCATATTTTTCTAAATATATATACATATATATATATATATATATATATATATATATATATATATGAACTTTTAAAAAACAATATGATTTTCTTATACAACGTATATATAAAACAATACTTGTCCCTATATGAATTTCAATTTAGTAATTCTCCTTATCTTATAAAATATCAAAACCTTATATAGAGATGTCATTTTTAATTACACATGTAAAGTGATAGATAGATAGATAGATAGATAGATAAAATTCACTAATATGTTCGATTCTCAGAGAATTCTCGAAAATGTGAGTTAGGGAAGAATTAGGGAAGGACAACTCCAAGTGGGATTTGTCTTGTTGACCAATTACTAGTACCGAGTTCGATCATCAGTGTGTGTCCTTTACAATATCCAACATTACGTAACCCAACAAGTATTTACATATCTTAAAATCAACTAAACTACGAATATTTTTAAATGCCCTCTCTCTTCAGTACGTAAGCGATCATGACTCTCCACAGATTCCTTTTCTTTATTATCTGTAAAATACTGTACACTCTTAGCGTGATTTCCGGTTGCATTCTCCACATTATGGAATTCAGAGTTTTTCGCATCTTCGATGATAATGCTCGAGATCCCAGTGTACCCTGTTATTTAACCCACTCATGGGGACGGTGGGAGAAGAGATGGAATCAGTCCTTTCCCAAAAGCATGAGTGCGTATGTGCATTCTATAGGCGTGCCCTGAATTTGAACTTGGCTCACCGATTTCACTTTCTGCGCTGATATCCGTTACACTACCCGCAAATTCGGAAAATCTGCTCAAACTTCATATAAGTAGATATGGTATACCTTCCAAAATTTTACAACCGTGGCATACATTGGACATTGGAGACGAACTGCATCTTGCACAGTTTTAGTTTTTAGTCTTGTGTTAAAAATACCAAATGGTCATCGAGTGACTACTGACAAAGCAAAATGTCTTTTCCTCATGCCGATCAAGCAGAAATTTCAAAAACTGCTTGCATGTTGAAATTTCAAAAACGTGCCGATTCCTAAATCTAGTTTTAAGCCATCAGCAGAAACAGAATAGCTACTAATCATCTCGCTATCAGGATTCTCTTGGGAAGAAATAAATATATTCATCCCACACAAAATACTTTACGATTTCTAAAAAGATCGAATAACCATCTCCTCATCATAATTGGTTTTACTTATTCAGGGCCCGTCGTTCCTCTGACGGCAACGCTGACCGCATTTCAAATCTAAATTGGCTGTATATATAAAATATCAGAGCTATTAGAAAATATTCAATTTAATACAGTAGTCATAAAACTGACTTCAGAGGATCGCACATCTCAGCTTGTACTATTTTCCTGTTACACAGGGGTTGTTGCCAGACAGAAATGAAAATTAGTTATCAGATGTCCATTTCAATTTCATACAGAAACAGATATGCAATGTGATTGGCCCTGATCTGGTATCTCGTTTACAGTCGCTCTTTCACAGATGTGCTGTTGCTCCCCTCTGTCTATTCTACAAATACTTTCACAGTAACTGCTCCAACAAGCAACTTTCGCTGGTTCCCAAACTGTATGAATTTAAACGTGCTACTAGGTTGGCTTTCACTGTCGAAACGGTGAAATGTAGCCGTCTTTTCTACTCCAATAGCTTCATGTCCGCCTGTGGAATTCTCTTCCTCTTACGTGCTGCCCTAACAGCTATAGTCTTCAAATATTCAAATGCAATGTCAATCGACATCTTCTGATGCCTTGATCTAATTCCCCGTTCTTCTCTTCATCCTTACCGCGATCGCGTCTCTTTACTCTTGCTCCCACTGTCTGTAACCCCTTGCGTGCTAGTGACACTCTCGCGTTGCTTGGGGTGAAATTCTTAAAAAAATGTTTCAGAGTACGCGTGTATATTCTTTCAGTGGCAGACATAAAAAAAAATTCTATACTTTTTTAATTTAAAATAAAAATTCTATTACCGAACAATTTCCGAAAAGTTCAATAAAATTTTCATTTTTTTAGAGTTAGATTGTTTTGTTTTTTAATGTAATTTTATTTTAATGATTAGAGCAGGGTTGAGCTGTGCAGACTGAGTGGGAGGGGAATGTATTATTCTAATATCTTATTTTAAACTCAGTGTGTGTGTATGTGTGGGAGCTTGTGTGTACATTAAATGGTCAAAAAACATACGAGGTCTGATAAAAAAAAATATATATATTGGGACTGGTGGTATAAAAAGCATACACAACACATATCAATTCGGCATTTAATCTCCTTCGAAGTAGTCCCATTCTGATGCCACACACTTTATCCAGCGTCGTTTCCATTGATGGAATCATTCCTGGAACTACTTTTGCGGAATTGTGAGCATTCTCCTGGATTTCCTCGACGTCTAGAAATCTTGTTGCTTTCCAATTGGATTTGATTTTTGGAAACAGAAAAAACACGCAAGTGTCGAGATCTGGGGAATATGGAAAATGTTATACTCAACCAAAAACTGCTGCACAAGCCATGGTCACTGATGGAATCTTTGTGGTATAGTGAGACGACCACACTCTACACACTTTCCTTCCAAGCACTGCTATAAACAACGGAACTGAGTAAGCAAGTTATAACTTAGTGCATGCGTGACAGAGTTCAAGGTCAAGCTGTGGCAAGCGGCTCCACTCTGCATATTTTTGCTCTGGTTATCATAGCAACAGATTCGATACTTTTTTATCAGACCCCTCACGCACAATACAGTCACATGCAGCAAGTTTATGACAGACAAAGAATCAGGTCTTCTTTTATAATATAAACTAGCTGCATGGCCGGGCGTTGCCCGTGCTTGATTCAAAAATCGTACGACTCATACAGCAATCGCTATCACTTGACTTAAAATATTTTTGCCCTTCCTTGCCTTTTAAGGAGTGCTCTTTGCCATACTGATGTTGCTATATGCCTTACTTCTTGCCTATCTCACACTGCGAATTTTTTCTTAGCTCTATACTAAACATTAAATCTGTTACTAAAAAGGAACTAAACAAAATGAACACAAAACGATCAGCTTTAAAAAAGGACTCGTAACTGGAAAAACCGAATGAAAAAAAGAATGTTAACAACAAATACTTTTTCACACCCAACCCAGTTCTGCGGAATCAGAATCAACGTTGAGTTTAAGCAAGCGAATGAGCCAATTGGAGTAAAGTGCC